CTCACACGTGGAAGCTATCTGGAAGCTATTTGTCAAGTCCTGGAGAGACAGGCAAGGGCAAAACCCAGCTGTGCTAAGGATATGGAAAGCTAACCCTGGAGCCATTAGCAGCCCAAAGCCCAGACCCCAGTGCACCAGGGTCTCACACTGGGGCCTTGGTCACGTGTGGCGAGTGCTGTTCTGCAGCCTCTGTGCAACCGGTAGGGACTCAAAGGAAGTTTTGATGGGGTGCTGATCACCCCACCAATGCTCAGTCCAACCAAAATGCCAGTACTGAAACATACAGCAGAAAGAAGATAGTTTTGATATCACACAGCTAAACCCAAATTAGCATTCTCATCAGGCACTCTATCCAGTGTCAAGTCAAGATGAAGAGCCACTCGTATGTCTTGCACTGAAACTAGTCACCCACCAAAGGGGATGCAGAGCCTACAATGAACAATCCAAATGGTAGCCCAGGATGCATTTTTCTCTTCTCAGATAGCCTTTTTCATCCTAGCATCTCATTGCATTTCAAAGAATGCACTAAGCCTCCAAAAGAAAATGGTATTGACGCTCCATAGAGGAAACCAAATAAAGAGCAGCTGAGATCACTTGGCTTGTTCAGCCTGAAGACAAGGAGACTGAAAGGACACCTCATTGCAGTCTAGAACTTCCTTATGAGGGGAAGCAGAGGGGCAGGCACTGCTCTATTCTCTGTGGTGACCAGTGACAGGACCCAAGGAAATGGCCGGGAGGTTTGGGTTGGAGATAAGAAAAGGTTCTTCACCCAGAGGGTAGCTGGGCACTGTAAGAGGCTCCCCAGGTTAGTGGCCATGGCACCAACCCTGCCAAGGTTCAAAAACCAATTGGACAGCACTCTCAGGCATATGGTGTGATTCTTGCTGCTGTCCTGTGCAGGGCCCAGATTTGAACTTGTGGGTCTTTTCCAGCTCAAGATATTCTATGAATTTCTGATTCTGTCTATTCATACAAGCAGGCAAACCACAGCAGAAAGCTATGAGCAAGACATGAAACCTATCTAATCACTTTGCAGCATACCTAGAATTATACCCATGTACCCATACTCTTTACCTTGTACTTCAAAATTGTGCTTTCCATCAGGGACCTACCCCCCACACAAAGAATTTGGACTGCTTGTTGTACCACCCCAAAGCTGCTCTCCCCCCAGGAGATCTCACTCCCTGCAAATGCTACACTCTGACTTCACAAGCTTCTTTAAGTAGATTTCAAAGGTGCTCCTGGCAGTCCCACTGAATGGCACAGGAGGATCCTTTACTTCCTCTCTGTTTACACAACATGCCAAGACCAATTAATCCCCTGGGAATGAGCTCAGCAGCTCCAAGAAGTCTTTGTGACAGCCTAGACTTCCTTATGCCTCAGGTGAACCTGGAGCCTTCAACTTTGAACCCAAGGATGTCCCTGCTGTCCCTGACCTTGTGCTCTCAGCATTGCCAAAAAAGCCAGATATGCTGAAGTGGTAGCAGCCATGCAGGGTGGCAGCAGGCTTCATTAAATAGCAAGTGGTTGGCAGCAGGGCCAGCATGCAATGATGTGTCTGCCCAGGGACCATGATCAAGGGGTGCCTGGAGAGGGCATTCACTGCAGTAAAGCGAGTGTCTGCACAAGCCAGGGCATTTCTGCCCAATTAAGGGAAAGAATAGAAGCCTTCTGAGCTCATTTTCTAGGCCTTTGGAGAAGTGAAGAAAAGCGCGCATTGAAATATCCTCGCTCGGCCTCAACAGGGAGACACTGGGTGGCCAGCTGACCAGCCAGGGTGGGAAATGCATCTGCCAACAGTCCAAACTCATGTCTGGGACACAGAAGGACTGAATTACTGTACCCTGTGAAGCTGGAGAGGCATAGCCTGGCATCTAACCAAAACAGGGCTTTTTAAACCTGCTCCTGGTACAGCCTTCCCTGCTGCAGGAGGCTGAACTGAAAGGCATGGATGATGGAGATTTCCATTTATTCACATGCTAAGAAAGGACAGCACTTTCCTAACTTTTAAAAAGCACTCTGATTGCCCCCAACCCACTTGTCTCCCAAATTTGCTCCTCTTTTTTACCAAAAGGCACCAAATCACTGGAATACAGGGAGACATTTGGATACCACTTGCCATCAACTCATGGGAGGAAGAAAAAAGACATCCCTACACAGAGCCACTCTACACCTCAATCCTCTGGACCAATATTCCATCACCATCCAACATAAACAGAATTTGATGCAAAGCACTTGGCATCTCTTCATCCACCCTTGAGTTACCCACACCACATCATACCCCCAAAGTGTTTTCTTATCTCACAGCACATTTGCTTCAGGCACAAATTCATCTTGCCTGATACTCTGTCATCTGTCAGCTGCACAGAGCTGCAGGGATGGGAAGTAAGGCTCAGGGATAAGAGTGAAAGCCACATCTGCTACTAAAAAAAAGTCTAGCTGATAAACTTTTCAGCTGCGTTCTCATGGGCAAGCATATGATAGGAAGGATAAGAATCACAAAGCAAGAAAAGCTTGATGTTCAGAGCTCAGATGAAGCTTTAGAGTAGCCTGTTTAATGTTAACATTCCTCATATGCATCATTTACCTGACTAAGAAACACAGGATGCCACACACTGCCCAGGCAGTTAATAAGAGCCATTTTTGTTGGAAAATGGAAACAGACAAAAAACAAACACCCTGGTACCATTTTATAAGTGGGAAATGGGGGCCCTGAATAATTTTCATAGGAGAAATAAGTACAGGTAGCAAGCAAAGACTCATCATAAAGCTTCAAGATGTTACTGGCTAAAAGTTAACCAATTAGAGCTATAAAAATAATACAAATGACCAAATAAAATATTCAGACTGCATCTCACTGTGCATGTGTGTGTCATGTCATGTTGTGCCCTCAGTGCACTTTCTGTCAAATTAAATCCACCAGCTGACTATCCTTTCTTTATAACATGGATTCCACAACCATGGAATGTTAATGACATCCACAGTAAAAATGTTATTTTAAAAACACACTGCCACCTCCACTCCAGGTTTCAACTTCTTTTGCAAAAATCTTTGCCACAATTAATCCAGAAGTGTAGAGAGTAAATGGACAAGGAAGCCAATTATTCTCAAAAGGTTTTCCCAGAAAAAACCAACAGTTTGGAAGCCTGGTATAAATTAGCCCCTAACCTTTATCAATACACTCCTGAAGACAGAGCTGAAATATGCTTGAGGGAGAGCAGGCAGATGCTATGCCTGGCATCCAAATCAGAGAAATCACCTGGGCCAAAAGAAACATTTTCCCATTTATTTATGTGCACTGTGAAAAACTAGAAGGCTGGGCACAGGCTTCACAGCTTTCTTCTTCTCTTGTAAGGATGTGAGACTAATTAAAGTCTGTCAGTATCAGTAGAAGATTTGGGTGATGTGAAATGCAAGACTGGGCCTTTTGAATGTTCTGTGAGCCGAAACTTGGCTAGAAGGTTGAAAAGGGGGTGAGGAAAACCGTACTGAAAGCACAAGTCTCTACATTATGTATTCATGGGAGGTATGCTGCCAGCAGGACTGAGAAAAACCAACAATGTAATAGGGAAATAGAAATCTCACTTTTAGGGTTCTCAGAAAATAAATGCATAGTCCTTTCTTTTAGTGGGTCCATCTTGTAGGCTTAAAGGAATTGTTGCAAGCAAGGTTAAAACTACTACATCCAACAAACCAGAGGCAGTGAAATTCTTTCCTAATGAGAGGAAATTCAGAACTGAAAATAATTGTTTTTAACTTACTGCAACGTACCAGGGCCAGCAGATGTCTGCAGATATCCTTTTAAGCTGACACTACACCAGTGCAAATAGAAAAATAATGAAGAGACATGAAATACTAACTCTACAGCAAGGCTTTTTGAAAGAGAGGCGCCAGATGGGAACTGCACAGGGCAGCCTGCCCCATTTCCCAGGCTCTGCAGAGACAAGGCAAACTTTTAGCATTTCCACACCTCAGTCCCAGGCCAAACTAAAGTCCTGCAAAATCAAGAGTAACTGCATCTAGAACAAACTGTAAGCAGTTTGTGAAATGTTAAGAAGGTAAAAAGCAGTCTATTACATGGCTACAAAACTCCTAGGAGGCATAAAGAGATCTAGGCCCAAGGAGCTCAACAAGTGCAGAAATTCCTATCATCATCAAGTTGACAACCACTTTCACCAAAGGCTCTTTTGACACATGCTGAGCAATTAATTCATTTTTGAGTAAGTGGCATAGGTCAGATCATGGAAGCAGTGGTAACTTGATGAAAGCAAATGCCAGTGATTTTGTTCCTGTGCCATGCAATGAACTGGACAGTACAAGTGCTGCCTTCCTCCTGGTGTAGCAAGAGAACAGCCCAAACACGGCAGGAGCCACCCAAGCAGCAGTGCCTTTACCTCTCAGGAGGGGTATCTACACTTACCCCAATTTATCCTAGATAGACAGCAGAAGTACCCTGAAAGTGTGCCCCAAAGACACGACCATAAGAAGCAACCCTATGAATTTACTGATCCTTGCCTGTAGCCCCACATTTCTCTTCACAGAGAAAAGCAAAGCACAAATTCTTCCCAAGAATGTGAAACCTAGAAATATTCTCAGAATATCAGAGAAAGAAAAAAAATTCCTATCATTTACTGTACCTCTGTTTGTACAAAAGTAGAATGCAATATGGAGATTGTTTACCCAAAATCATAGTGTTTGGTTTCCTTGGCCCATCAGGGCCAAGAATGTGTGTGTGTGTCAGGACTGTCAAGTGACAGTCATGAGATTCAGTGCAGTGTGTGCAAAGTTGAGTGCTTAGCAGATTCAGTTTTAGATGTATAAAATAATGTAATAAAGTAATTCATTCACCTTCTGATACCCATAAAGTCCTCCTCATCATTCCTCCTTCGTCGGGGCCCTCACAGCACAGCTATACTCGCCTCAATAACCCATTTCTGTCTTTGCTTACCAGGCCTTTTTGTCAAGCAATGCTGCTTTCCTCACGTGAAGTTCTGCCTTACCTGCTGCATTTTTTCCAGGTCAAGGCTGGGCCTGCTGACCTTATCCCCATATCCCTGTCGATGTCTCTTACAAGGCATGACCTGCTCAAGGCCCGCCCCGACGCTGGTGAAGATTAAAGGCCCGGAGGCCGGGCTCCGCACCAGGGGCTGCAGTCTCTTGGGAGGGGAGGCACTGAACAGCACGGGGCTGGGGCTGGCCTGGAGGCCATCGGCCTGCTCTGCCACGGGCCGGAAGGACATGGCGCACAAGTTCTTCACTTCCTCGTCGCTGGAGGAGGCGTTGTTGCCGTCGCTGCAGCAGGTGAGCCGGCTGACCTGCGACCACTTCCGCTTCTCCGCCGCAAACTCCCGGTTGATGCGCTCCAGCTCCTCCTCCGAGCTGTGCCGGTCAAGGCTGGCATGGAAGAGGGCCCGAACCTTGCAGCATTGGCTCTCCTGGTTCTGGAGCTGGTTGGTGGCCAGAGGAGTCAGGGTACAATTCCGTCTTCTCTCTGGTGGGAGGAGGAGATTGAGAAGTGGCAGAGCACATCTGGGTCCCACAGCCTATATAAAATGGGTGTGTTTCCTCCTGACCTGCTGTTTTCATCTCCTCACAACTAAACTTCTAAACTGTTTCTCCACCTTCTCCTCCCCAGATGAAACACCCCACCCCCCCCCACCCCACCCCCCCCCCAGCTGAATGCTTCCCTTTGGAAGTTTCCAGACCAGACTACTACATGTCACTACATGTCATCCCTTTCAAACCATCACCTGGAAGTCTAGTTCCAGAGAAAGAACACAGATCTGTCACCCACCTCACCTCTTGCCTCTAGCCAAAAACATTAACTTCTAGTGACCAGTTCTCAGGGCAGAAGAGCCAAGTTACACTATCCTAAGCGTCACCTTTATGGCTCAAATAAATGAGATCTGGTTTCTGGAAATCAAAGACCTCTATTACAAGACTTGTCACACAAGAGAGCCTGTATTCAGCTAGGCATGCTTTATCTCTTCTGCTGAGCATATGGAGCAGGGATCTGAATTCTAACAGGACAAGTCCTGTGGGTCAGGAATTGAACTTCTGCTTCCTCTGCATAAGAATCTGCTTGAACCTGGGCACAGGGCATACACTAATGGCAAACTTAGCATAACTTAAGAGATGCATTTACTACAGATTTCACCTGCAGCTCTAAGCTACTTCATATCAAGTAAAAAAAACAACAGCAGAGCACCTGTATCTTCTCTATCTCTAGACAGAGACTCTCACTAGATGCAAGAATAGGGCTGCACAATACCAACAGTCTAGGAGGATGGGAAAGAGATAATCAAAGAATGAATCCAGGGGAATGAATAAACTGAAGGTTAAAACTCAAAATAGCAAGGATGAGGAAACCCAGAACAAAGATGACACAAGTGCAAAAGCATGGAATAGAAGATAAATTTTTTGTCCCAGCTCTGCTGCTGGCACAATTGTGGACTATCTCTGCCCCGTGTCAGAGCACTGGGACTTTAACACATGGTTAACAATGTCTATTTCTGGTGGTAAAAATGCAACTGCAGCATCTGATAACACCAGCCTCTCCCTGTGAGGTCCCAAACGCTTCAAAGGTGACTGACTTAATGCATCTGTTTGTGGTACATTGGGGACTGAGAAGGAGGCACTTGCAAGAGCACGAGTGAAAAGAAAAACTGACTTCAGCCGTAGTATCCCGGGATCCTTCTATCTTCATCCCTTTACCTCTGTCGATCTGAGCAAGTTCCTGGTTCTCTCCCTCAGAGTCATCGCTGTCCTCATCACTTAGGGGATAGGAGATCTAGGGGACAAGGAGAAAGGAAAGGCTTCATCATGAACACTGAATATTGCTGCCCAAGCCACTTCCCCCACCCTCCCCCTCATATCCTGGAGGCATCCACCCCACCTAACCACACACACCCAGCCATAGCACCTTCCTGTGTGCACATCCTCATCTCCCAGCCCCAACCTCCAATCGTATCCTCTTACTTTCAGCAACACAGAACACACAAACTACTGCTGCTTCCACCACAAGAGCTGCACTGCCAGCTCTTTCCCAAGTACAATGAACATATCCTGCCTTTCACTTCCCAGACATGTAGCTTACAATCATCATGGCCTACCACATCCACATCACGTGGATAACCGAATCTCCAAAATCTCCACTGCCGAGATAGAGACACATCCTGTCAACAGCACTTGCAAGGCACCCACAAATGGAAGTGGCACGTTAGCTTTGGCCATCCTGTGTATGTACCCACACTTCCCCTTTGAAATTCACACACAATCCACCACAGAACAGACTCACCTTGCTTTTCTACAGGCCAAGCCTGAGGTATTTAATAGAAATAAAAGAAACACAATTTCACAGAAACACAGACAATACTGTTAAGCTGTCCCCTCCAGGAGATAACTTACAATTATACTGAACACCTTTGAATGCTCTAAGATTAACAACAATTCACATATTTTGTCAATATCAAGACTTTTCAGGAACATCTGCTCTGTGTCAGCCAATGGACTACAAGCCACCTACTCAAAACATGTCTAACACTGAACAAACCTGCTAGCTGCCTCTTGAGAGGATTGAGAGATCTGAAACCAAGCTTTTATAGGTCAGATGGATCACACTGCCTCTGAGTTTCCTACACAGAGGAAATCCTACCTACCTTGCTACTGAAGTGACTTTTGTTCAGCTGCATAGAGCCTACCTGGAAGTTATTAGATCAAACCATTGAGCTACACAACTTAGTATGTGTCTCTGGCAGCAGCCAAAAGCAAATGAGTCAAAGGAAAATGCAATACTTAAAAGAAACCTTTATAAGAAACAGTTCTGGAACAACATGATCACAGCAAGATGAACTTCACTATTCCTTACACCTTTTTATTCAGAATAACAAACATGGCCATCATTCTTAGCTGCCTCAAAATACTTGCTCACAACAGAATCCAGCGGCAATACGTTTTCAAAGGTTACATGCTATGCTTCCATTTTACACCTTTGCTGTGCTGTGCTTGACTTTTACAAAGAGGAGGCAAGCATGCAGCCACGACACTGATTTGGACCCATTTTACCTCCACCACCCTGGGGAGATGTCTCTGTAGTGTTTCAGCCACCCAGAGACACAAGAGAGCAGCTACACTTACCTAGGTGTCTATGAAAGACACACTGCTAAGGCAGAGAAACAATAATAGTTGAAAAATTCCGATTGATACTGAATTTGACAGCTATTAAATCAACACACCTATTTTGTGACCATCCTCCAGGACTGTGTTTGTGGCATTTTGTTCCCCCCAAAAGCATGCAGACACCTTTTTCCCCCCTCCTTCTTTAAAGCTACCTTTTGCCCTTCTGCATTTAGTGTCCTTTGAGAAATCAAAATATATTTTTCTTCCTTGCTAGTCTTTAAACTACATTCTCAGCTGTCAAAAGATGAACCAGGCAAGTCAGATTTCAGATTTATCCCCACTGCAGATATTCCTGAAGTAAACACAGGACGTTGTTTTTCCTTCTACAACTACAATTTCCTTGTATGTGTTCACACACATGCATCATTTAATAAAGGCAGCTAGCACTGAGGAACACTGCCAAACACAGAGACTTCTAGTTGTCCCCAGAGCAGGTATAATACCTTGTTTGTACCATGGCAGTTCACAGAGGGGACAGCTGACACTGAGGTGCCATTGTGTGGCTGCTGTACAGACAGACAGAGGTCCTGTCTCCCTTAGAAAAGCTAAGGCTCCCATTCTAACTGGAGAGGTACTGACCTTAGGCTGTGGCTCATTCCCACATAAAAACCTTTCATTTGGACATGGCAGGGTTTTCAGTGAGGTTAAGCACTGTGTGGGAATCCTAGCAGCTCCAGTTTCTGTAAAATGTGAATGTCAATACATGGCACGGCACCGATTCCAAAAAAAAGCCAATGACATCTAGCACAGGCAGGTCAAACAGCTACTGCACAATGTCACTGGCTTGAGATGCTTAAGATAGGAGGTGGATTTGAGTAAATGACTGATGTTTGAAGCCTGTGTCTACCAATCCTGGACTTCCAAAATATTCACTCTTCCCTGTGCAAGTGAAATTTTGCCAGCCCCTGGCCTCCTATGGGTAACTCTCCTGTACTGAGTCCTCCCCAGTCCCTCGGGCAATCAAAGACCAATTCCCTTGTGAGTTGCCTTAAACACTTTGCTAGAGGCTTAAACTCCTTGCCACGGTACCTCACACAGGCAAAGATTAATGGAAGATCAAAAAATTAAAAAAAAAATAAAAAAAGGATTCTCTATCAGTCTGGATAACAAGACTTACCAAAAACTAAAGATCTATGGAATCAAAGAGTAATGCTCTGACTAGCTGGAGATAAATACACTCTCCCTTGACTCTTCCCCAGCTTTTTTTCTCCCGACTCTTCCCCGTACCCTCTCCTAAACATTCAGTAACATTTCACTAAGCACAGCAGTACTGTGTTCAGGCCTCCAGCCTCCCATATATTAGCCACAGATTCACTTTTGTCCAAGGCAGTACAGCCCCATTTCCCTCAGAAATTCAGAACTGTGGCACTGCTGTAGCAGAAAATTGGAAAACTTCATGTCAAAAGTCCCACCAGATCATGGTTTCATTCTCAGCACATCAATTGCAGAATGAATAGATTCAGACACCACTTGGTATCACAATAGTCCAAGCTCTTGCTCAAGCTTGAACAACTAGAAAAGTTGCCAGGACTGTGCACAACACACTCTCTGCCTTAACATGCATAATTGAAGAGAATAGAAAAAATCTTCAATTCACATAAATGTGTGAATGTTTACAAGCTATGGCACAAAAGAAGCCAAAAACCAAAGGACAGGAGGCTCTCCACCCTTCAGTGTTTCTTCAGTAAATGCATCAGAAATCAGCCTCCTGCTGATGAGGATCACCCAGTGTTACACCTGGGACCTTCAGCTCTGGCACCTGATGTGCCTTCAGTCAGGATAAGGACTCCTTCTGTTCCAGACAGAAACATAACTAACTTTCCCATCCATTTCATTTCTCATCCATCTCTAGTAAGGAAATATGGCTCGCTGTAAAATAACCAGATGGTATTTAAGGAAAACTTAAGAGTAAAGCTTACACTTTTGAGGGAGTTTTAACATGAAAGACAAACTAGGAGATACAAGAAAAAAAATAGAGACAGAAAAATATGTCTTTCCAATCACACTGCTGCTTGTCAACTGAGTAATAAACTGCAGCTGAAGTTGCAAAGGTCTTAAAGGGTCACATCACCCTCAAAGTCTAAAGCTCTGAAATACATCAGACAATTAAAAAGTCCCACTATGTTAAAGTGGAATTCCTCTTGGTTTGGCTTCCAGAAGAGAAATTATCCTGCTATCATACAATCAAAAGCAATGATATTAAGAATCATCTGTGAGCTTACAAAGGATAAGAAATCTCACTTCTAAGGCAGACTAAAACTCCCACCAGGCTCCACTTAAAGGCTGCATTGTCTGGTTTAGTGTAGGTATGTTCATGAGGAAGAGATAATAAAGAGATACAACTGACCACAGGCAACTCCTTGCTCCCAGCTTGAATGAAGAATGCACACAGGCTGGAGGGCATCATTCCCAATCTCCCTCTGGGAGCAAGGGAGGGAGGGAAGGAGGGAGTTTACCTCCAGGGAGGTGGTTTCCCTGGCAGAGGCCAACACTGCCTGTGCTGAACATACAAGGCTGTTTGAGACCCAGGCTTGCTCACTTCAGGCCGACCACTGCAGGGAATCTCTGCAACTAAGTGAAGTCCCTTCCAAGAGCCCTGGAAAGAGACTCTGCTAAGTTGGTCTCACACCCTGGTTCCTGGCACAAAACCAGAAAGCAATGGATGAGCTCAGCAATGACTACTGGTATCTCTGTGATGGGGAACTGATTTCCATTTCTTCAGACTTCAAACTGGAGAAATGAAACCAGTAGTCACCTCCCCCCTGCCACACTGCCTACAGAGCAGCTGCTACAGACATGGGCAACCTACAGCACAGGCCTCTGTTGCTGGCTCTTCTCCATTTCCATTGCTTGGCTTTAGCAAAAACATTTCACTACATTTCCTTTGTGATATTTTTCCAGGTCAACAACTGGTACAGTTGCCACAGGACACTGCCTGATCTTGAATGAGGGAGGTGCCATCCTACCAATTATAAGAGACTTTGAATCAGAGAGAGTTGGAAAACAAGGTAGATGATGAGACACTGAAAGGCAGTTTTGAGCCATGAAACATTAGGAAGAAGGAAGGAATGAGTCAAACAGACCTTCAAATTAACGTGTAACTCCTTTCCCAAGATCTCCTTTGATTTTGAGAGATATTCAGTGATTATTGGGGAGAATTTATGCCAGTACATCAGGCTGGCTCTCTCCTCAAGAAAAGTAGCCAAGTTAAAGTTCAGTTCAATCTTCAAACATCCACATGTGAGATGTGACTGCCCAGGCTATACCTGGGGTCCTTCAACAGCTAAACTCCCAGCAAGAAGCGTCCTGGTTTGGAAAAGCTTTTCTAGAATATTTTTTCCATGTTACTATGTTCCTTGTTAATTTTCACAGTAGGTCTGCCTTCAAACTCTATTCACCATTTCCTTGCAAATGGCTATAGACAAACCTAGGGCTCATAACCCTTGAACATGGTCCTGCTTGACAGAGCAGCTGTTGGGTAAATGAAAGCTGGGATGGGCCAGTGGGACACAGCACTCCCTGAGGCCCTTGTTTTCTAAGCCCTACTTATGCCAAGTACAGCAAAATTCCTGTTGTAGGAATGCCAGCTTCTGCATGAGCCTGGAGTGTATT